CACACACACACACACACACACACACACACACACACACACACACATACACATCGAGTCACGATCGAGTCGCGATCGAGTCACGATCGAGTCGCGATCGAGTCGCGATCGAGTCACACACACACATCGAGTCACGATCGAGTCGCGATCGAGTCACGATCGAGTCGCGATCGAGTCGCGATCGAGTCACGATCGAGTCACGAATCGAGTCACGATCGAGTCCCGATCGAGTCGCGATCGAGTCACGATTGATTGACTGATTGAATGGTTTATAGAACGGATCGAGTCGCGATTGACTCGCGATCGAGTCGGGATCGAGTCGCGATCGAGTCACGATCGAGTCGCGATCGAGTCGTGAACGAGTCGCCATCGAGTCGGGATCGAGTCGCGATCCAGTCGCGATCGAGTCCCGACTCGATCGCCAGTCGATCTCGACTAATCCCGACTGAGTCAATTTTTAAGTTAATTTTTTTATCAATCGCTACTGAGACAATTTTTATCGATCGAGTCTCGATCGACTCCCGACTCGATCCCGACTCGATCTCGACTAATCGCGACTAAGACAATTTTTTTTTATAAGTTTTAATTTAATCAAACAATCAATCAATCAATTAATCAGTCTTCCTCTCTCGCCCTCTCTCTCTCTCTCTCTCAATCAATGAATCAATGAATCAATCAATCAATCAATCAATCTTTCTTTCAGTAAATCAATGAATCAATGAATCAATCAATCAATTAATCAATCAATCAAGCAATCAATCAAACAATCAATCAATCAATCTATGAATCAATCTATGAATCAATCTCTCCCTCTCTCTCCCTCTCTTTCCCTCTCTCTCTCTCTCAATCTATGAATCTATGAATCAATCAATCAATCAATCAATCAATCAGTAAAGGGGGGGGGGGGCACGCGCACGGAAGGCGAGCTCCCCGACAACCAATCAATCAATCAGTAGCAGCGTGTGTGTGTGTGTGTGTGTCTTCGTGTGTGTGTGTGTATCTGCGCCGATTGATTGTTCAATCGATTCAATCGGTATCGGGATCGAGATGAATATTGGGGTGGGGATTGGGATGAATATCGGGGTCGGGATATCGGGATCGGGATGAATATCGGGGTCAGGATCTTGATATGTCAAGATCCTATTGTGAAGGTCGCGATCGCGGTCGCGCTGATCAAGGTCGGGATCAAGGTCGATATCGCGCCGATCAAGGTCGCGATCGCGTTGATCAAGGTCGGGATCGTGATCAAGGTCGCGATCGCGCTGATGAAGGTTGGGATCAATCGGCGATCCCGACTTGATCAAGGTCGGGATCATGAAAGAGAGAGCGATCAAGGTCGGGATCGTGTCTAGATCACCGTAGGGGGTTTGCTACGTGGCCACTATGCAAGGAGAATGAGGGCGTGGGCAGGCGACCAATCAATCAATCAACCAATCAACCAATCAACCAATCAATCAATCAATCAATCAATCAATCAATCAATCAACCTATCAATCAATCAATCAATCAATCAATCAATCAACCAAGCAATCAAGTGATCAATCAATCAATCAAGTCTGCATTTCGACATTGATCGCGTGTGATTATCGCTATGGTTGCGTTTCGGGCGGAGGTACCGCCGCGCGGGTTGCGTTTCTCTCCCTCCTCATTCACATCACTCAAGATAGCTATGGCGCATGGCGCCTAACAATCCCTCTCGACCAAGAAGAAGTAAAGAAAGAAGAAGAGGAAGATGAAGAAAAAGAAAAAGAAGAAGAAGTCGAAGAAGAAGACCAAAAAGAAGAAGACGAAGAGGAAGAAGAAGGAGAAGATGAAGAAGATGAAAAAGAAGAAAAAGACGAAGAAGAAGAAAAAAAATCCACCAACACAAAGAAGTAGACGAAGAAGGAGTGGAGGAAGAAGAAAACCAAGACCACGAAGAAGAAGAAGAAGAAGAAAAAGAAGAAGAACGACGACCGGAGTTGAAGAAGGAGCAAGATGAACCTACCAGCAGAAGCCATATCCTCCTCCTCTTCTTCTCGTCAAATCCGAATGCCGCAAATTTAAATCCAAATGCCGCGCAATCCAAATGCCGTAAAATTGTCTCTCTCTCTCTCGGCTATGGTCTCTCTCTCTCTCTTTCTCTCTCTCGTCAAATCCCCTAAAATGTCGCAAAATCTCTCTCTCTCTCTCTCTCTCTCTCTCTCTCCCTCTCTCTCTCTCTCTCTCTCTCTCTCTCTCTCTCTCTCTCTC